ATATTTTTTCTTATCTTCTTGTGGCATGGCATTTTCCCAGCCCATGTAGCAGCTTGTAGGTCAAGGTCAACTGAGGACAGCAGGAGATGTTGCCAGCATCTCCAACTGCTGATCTTTGCACATGGCTCACTCTGACATCTCTCCATCACAGGCTGCACATCTTTTTACTTCCTTCCCATGCTCCCACTCTTCTCCAGCAAAAGCAGCATGTTTTCCAGTAGTACCTTTGCAAAGTAGTGGTGATCTATTCTCTGCTGACAGGAGTTGGTCATCCTTGTTCTTGCCTGAGAGACCTTCCCTGGATCTCTAGAGGAACTAGCAACCACCACCGAGCAGTCTTCATACTTTTCTGTATGCATCAGGCAGCTTTTGCAACCAGAAGTTGAATTTTACTTTATTTTTCTTTATCTTACTTGATCTTGCCTGATACTCTAACATTTATATGTGCATGCCTTTTTAAAAACTATTTATCTCTAAATTTTTAACCTTTCCTCTGATATTTACCGCTTTTACTTCAGTCCTCCATTCCCATTCCTTCACTACCTCTCGCTGAAACATTTACCAGAATGGGCTGATAATGTCTGGATATACTCAGTTACATTTCTAGATATCTAGTTGCCTTTGTCTTTTCTCTATTTTATCTCACATTTCTTCTTATGTTTCTCCATCTTCACTCCTTCTCTCTTCATATTCAGATTCTAAATTATGTTGCACCTTCAGTCTCTCTAAAAAATCCGACTTCCATAGCCTTGTTACCATCAATGATTTTTTCCAGCATCTTACTGTAGTCCTTTGGCTGTCTTTATGAGAGAAAGAAGCTAGTCTCTTCACATTACACAGAAACAGCTACATTTCAGAGGACAAGGTGCTCATAAGTATTTGCCTACTCCTCGAGCACTAAGAATCTTATTTCACAATCATTTCTGCCTGGTAGTTGTGCAGGCATGAGGAGACCCTTTCCTCTGCTTCTTGATCCTATCTTTCTGAGGAGCCAAGGAGCAGGATAAGTTTTGAGGTTTATTTGTGGACCTGTGTTCTGACCCAGACTTACAGCACAGCCACAGAAGCAGAGGTATCTGCATGAGTCAAGACTGTGGGATGCAATGGGAAAGGAAAGGTATTGTTTATGCCAGCATTAGTACCTAAGGATATGCTCATAAACTTCAGCAAAGAAAACTCTTTGTGTATACTTGTTTTAAAATCCTTACATCTTAACCTTGCTCCATTTAAATGGGAGGAAATATTCTTCATCATCAGGCATTAGAAAAACACCTACCCTTTAAATGCTCTGGAAAGTTTTGCTCTACTATGCAGACTGTAGCAGAGCAATTTGCAAATGCAGATGGACATTTTCCAGCACTGAAAAAGTTCATCCAACTTTTTTCAGCTCCATTCAACCATAGAAAACCTCTCTTTGTATGAGTTTCCTGCCCTCTCTATCATTCTCACTCTTTTCTGAAATGAGGAGGGTACTGTGAAAGGTGAAATAAATCAGTTCCAGTCAGCTATGATTTGGGGTCATTATTGCCAATACTCTTATCTCCTCCGAGTGTCAAAATCTGCGGATCTGAAGAAGGCTCTCTCTCAAGCAATTCCTTTTTTTCCACGAGGCTCTTCAGTGTCATCTGGATCTTTCTTCAGAAATCTTTTCTGTTTGTGGTTGGAGATGCACAAACGGGCAAGTGCTTTCCTTCTTTAAATGAATTTTGCAAATAGATATGTAGAGCTCCCTTATAGCATTTCACTGAAGCATTCTCCTTTCTATTTGCTTATATCTCTCAAATGTAAAATAAATTTAAAAAAAGAAAAAAATGAGAAAAGAGAAAGGTGAAGTATGTAGTATTCATTGCAATAAAACCAAATTCAACTTAATTGTGCGACAAATCTTTCAACATTAAACAAAAAATAATAATTCACAGGAGAAAATAATTTGTCCTCTTTGAATACAAGGTGTGCTCTTCCCAGTGGAACTGCTGCAGTTCTCCTGAATTTCTGATTTGCAAAGGATTTGAAGCGTCAGTGAATATAGCTAGAATTCTGTAGACAGAAGGGGCCTGTATAGTGTTGCGAGAAGAAAAAACATGCAAGCTCCCTAAATGAGGTCAGATAGATAAAGTAACTAATTCTTTGTTGCCAGGTATTGTTGCCAGCAAATTGGTGCAAAAGGGCTGGTTGAATGTCAGAGTGTTATTACACAAGACTTCCCAAAATGCTGATTGAGTCTTAAGCAACGTGGCCCACAAGTGCAGAGCTTGTACTGATGTCATATTGACCCCTCTGGTTTACTTTTTCTCTTACTCATCTTAGTCATTTTAGTATTAAAAGTCACTCTAGGCATAGAAAATCCCCATGTTGCTGAGGGGTGTGTGAAGAAATATTTCATCTAAATAAATATAAGATGTCCAAACAAAGTAATTCAGAATTTAAATACCTAAACCGTTAAAACAAAATATTTCCAATGGAAAATTCAGTTTCATCATCTCAGTGCTTTCCCATGACTACTGTTTCATCGGAGATATTCTCAGACAACTCTATTTTGGCATGTGTGTTTTTATATCTGTTATCATTTTCTCTTGGGTTCAGATCACTCAGCAGAGAAGTCAACCATGACAGCAGAAACTGAATCCAGCAATATCGATGACTCAAGCCAGGAAGCAAAACCTTCCCAGCTTTTGGACAATGAAACAAGTGAAAATCTACCAGTCAAAAAGAAGGCCTCCTGTTGCACAGGCTTGAAGGTTTGGTGCTTACTAATATCACTACAAATTACCACTGTTGTATATTAAGGAATGCTGTTCAAGGTCTGACATTATAGAGTACCTCCTTTTCCCCAGTATTGCTTCTGGATCTAAATACACACCAGGAGTGCAGGGGAGGGCTGGATCTTATCTTTGTCCTAACAAAAATAAGTGCAGACCTAACATACTTACTCTCAAGTTATTCACAGTTAGGTCCTAATTTTGTTACTGAGCAGAGATAGCAGTCTCCAATGGAGGACATGGGGCATCCTAAAACTATGGCTATTATACACTGATGTCTGAAGCTTGCTGTCAACACTCATTTTTAGGGCCGAAATGGAGCACACAGGAAGAATAGATTGAACAGAGATGGTGAACCAAAGAGAATTTTGCTTTCATGTTAAAGCTTTTAGTATTTATTGCTTCTGGCTGAGGTGTAAATACTACCTGGGCAAGATTTTTTGTGATACCAATGTGTTTGGGTTTATACTTCGACTAGTTCTTCAGCCAGTTTTATCTCGGATTAAATTCCACTGACTCTGTGGAGCTAGAACACATTCATCCCTACAAAAAGTTCTATATATAAAATATATTATATATATATATATATATATATATATATAAATGAAAGATTAATGAAAAAAAATAGGCAGTTGAAAGCTTCTTATACATCTGGAGTAATTTGGACTGAGTATCAGGTGAAGTTTGTTATATTTTTTATTTTATCTGACTCAGAGATACCACCCATATACACCACAGATACAGAATCTGAGCTCTCTGGAAGACTCACAGGACAACCTTCACTATTATATGCACAGGCAATGCTGCAAGTCTGTGGATCTATGTCTGTATGTTCCTGTGAATGACTTTATGGCAATTAGGCTTCAGTGAACACAGTTTTTGGTGGTACAAGACAAACTGGTCTTCAACCTCTTCATCTTGTCAAATATTTTATGCTTACATGGGGATTGCACTTTCAAACTTTTAATATCTAAGTCATTGTTTGTGTGTTCGTGCTTATCAGCAGTTTGTGATCTCAGCCAAAACATCCAGGAGAGCACTGCTTTCAGTGCTCCAGATTCTTACAGTCCTTTTTTTTTTTTTGCCAGTTGAGCTCAGGAGATCTAAAACATCAGGACAAAGTCTGTGCTTGTGAGATTTTATCTTCATTCCTAGACCAAAAGAAAATAAATATACCTATTTTCAAACGTGTCGTTGACTGCATTTCTTACATTAGATAGAACTGCAAAGTCTAAGCCTATATTTACCTTTGTTTACTTTACTTGTGTTGTATTGGAACTTTTACCCACTGAGCAATAAGTCTATTTGTTTTTAGATTATGTTGAAATAGTTAGACAATCTTTAAACAAACTTAGTTTAACTTCTTATCAAATACATTTTTATTTGCAAAGTCAAAATGTGTGTTTAGTGGAAGCAACTATAAAATTAAAAAGAATGTCAAGCTTTTTGTTGTCAGATATATGATATACAAGTGACACAGACAAAATGCACATATCTCAATATATTTGAGACAGTGATGAACAAATCAGCCTGTACTATTTCCAGAGACGTCACAGAATCTTGTGCAAAGACTTTATTTTGGTGTCATGGCTACCAATATGTTTGAGTTAGAAACAGTTATGAACTGGCATAAAATAAGTGTCATGAGACCCAAACAGAAAACAATTGGAGCTGAGATTATTTGTAGGTGAGACTAGTTTCATTAAATCAGTCTTGATGAGGTATGTATATGACAAAATCTACATTTCTGCAACATCTAGACATCTCACTATTTTTACTGCCCAACATGGGCCTCAGCTGTAACCACAGGATGTCAGCAAGGCAAGCAGTCCCCAGTTTCTTGACTCGGGATTTCTGCTTTGGGCCACCTCTGGCTTACAACACAGGTCAGATCAGGCTTTCTGGTCACTAAGATGGCTGTTGCAACCCTGAACGTAAGTAAAGCAAGTGGGAGCTTTCAGTGCAGCACCTAGCTCCAGCCCTTTCCAGCAGGGAGAAGCTGAGTGGTGAGCAAACATCAATGATTACATCCTGGCACCACTCATAACCAGAGTACAGAAAATTCAAACACAGTGTTGTCAGTGTAATTTGAGTAACAAGCATACACCATGATGATTGCTCCACACAGTTTCAAAAATATTTTGATTTCTATGTGACATCTTCCCTTGCCCCTACCTCCAATTTTCTATCTTCCCTCAGGTGTTTCTTGCTGCTTTATCATTCAGCTACTTCAGTAAAGCTTTGTCTGGTACAATTATGAAAAGTTCCATCACACAAATTGAACGAAGATTTGACCTTCCATCCTCTACTGTTGGTTTCATTGATGGAAGCTTCGAGATGGGTAATAATATTCCATAATATGCAGAAAACTGTTCAGAGAAATATGAGACAAGGCATCTAGTATTAATTTTGTTCATTACTTTCCAGGTAATTTGCTGGTGATTGCATTTGTAAGCTACTTTGGAGCTAAACTTCATAGGCCCAAAGTAATTGCTGTTGGATGCTTTACTATGGCTTTGGGAAGTGTTTTAACAGCAATGCCTCATTTCTTCATGGGATAGTAAGTATAGATCAAGACTGATTAGAGGTAACATAGCATTGGACTTGAGTGAACTAGAAACTTGTGTAAGATGGTATATTTGTGAAACAAATTGTGCTCTCCTGTAGCAGATCCTTACAAAGGCAGCTTTCAGTTTCAGAACCAGCAGATGTCCTGGTGCTCATAGAAATTGTCCTGGTTCATTTTCTATTCCAAATCACAGAATCACAGAGTCATAGTGTTACAAGAGACCCCTGGAGATTGTTTAGTCCAATCTCCTGCTGAAGCAGATCTTTTTGAGTAGGTTGCACAGGAAGGTGTCTGGGCTGGTTCTGAATATCTCCAGAGAAAAAGAGTCCACAACCTCTCTGGACAGCCTGTTTCAGTGCTCTGTCACCTTGAAGTTAAGAAGTTTTCCTCATGTTCAGATAGAACTTTCTGTCTTCTAGTTTGTGCCTTGTTCTGTCAATCAGCACCAACAAAACGAATGTGGTCCCATCCTCTTCACACTCACCATTTAATGCTGACAAGATCCTTTCTTAGTCTTCTCCAGTCTGAACAGTCTCAGGTTTCTCAGCCTTTCCTCAGAAGGAAGAAGCTTCAGGCCCCTCATCATTTTTGTAGCCCTCCACCGGACTCTCTCTAAAGGTTCCCTATCTTTTTTGAAATGAGTTTCCCAGAACTGGACACAGTACTCCTCACCTGGCCTCACCAGGGCAGAGTAGAGGTGGAGAATTACCTGCTTCGATGCTCTTTTTAATGCATCCCAGGATAACACTGGTCTTCTTGAGCACAAGGGTGCACTGCTGGCTCATGATTAAACTATTGTCGTGCAGGACTCTCAGCTCTTTCCTTTCAGAGCTCTTCTCCAGCAAGTTAGCCCCTAATCTGTACTGATGCGTACTGTTATTCCTTCCAAGGTGTAGGACCCTACGCTTGTCCTTGTTGAACCTAACCAGGTTCCTCTTCACTCAGTTCTACAGCCTGTCCAGATCTTCCTGAACGGCAACACAGCCTTCAGGTGTGTCAGACACTCTTCCCTGCTCCATATCATCAGCAAACTTGCTGAGGGTAGGCTCTGTATCTTCATCCAGGTCACTGATGAAGATACTGAACAGGACCACACCCAGTACCAACCCTTGTGTAACATCACTAATTACAGGCCTCCAATTAGGTGCTGCACCACTGATCACAACTCTCTCAGTTCTGACTGTTGGCCATTCTCAGGCTACCTCACTGTCCTGTCTTCTTAAGCTTCATTACAAGGAAGTTGAGGGTGACAAAAGCTTTTCTGAAGTCAATGTAGACAACATATACTGCCCAACCACTCATGGCTACCTGATCAATCATGCATGCTGACTCCTTTTGATAACCTCCTTTTCTTCCACGTGCTTAAAGATGAATTTCAGAATAAGCTTTTATATCACTTCCTCAGGGACAGAGATGACTAGGCCTGTCACTTCCTCAGGGACAGAGATTGACTGGCCAGTGGTTTCCTGTCTCCTCCTTCTTGCCCTTTCTGAAGACTGGAGTGACACTGGATTTCCTCCAGTGCTCAGGCACCTCTCCCATTCTCCATGACCTTTCATAGATGATAGAGAGCAGTATGGCAGTCACATCTGTCAGCTCCCTCAGTACTCACAGGTGCATACCATTGGGTCCCATGGATTTATGTGCATTAAGTTTGCCTAGAGGATCTCTGACCAGATCTTCCTTGACCAAGGAGAAGTCTTCCTTTTACCAGACTTCCTAATTCCAAGGTCTGGGATTTCTGAGGGGCAGCCTTACCAGTAAAGACTGATGCAAAGAAGGCAAGGCATTCAGTAACTCCATCTTCTCAGTGTCTCCCATTACCAGACCACCCATCTCATTCAGTAGTGGGCCCACATTTTCCCTAGTCTTCCTTTTGCTTTTGATACAATTAAAGAAGTCCTTCCTGTATTCCTTGACCTTCCTCACCAGATTTAATTCCTAGCAAGCCTTAGCCTTCCTTGTTGCATCCTTGCATGTCATGTTCACATCCGCTAAAACTAATGTCTCTTTGTCTTCGCTAGGTTCAGAGGAACTTAAAGAATATATTTTTTTGTGATGGTAGATCTTGCACTAGCATCAGACTTATATTTTCCACTGCTTAAGTGAAGCTGAGCATCTAGCTCATCTGCACATTGTAACTCATAAAGTGTCTCATGGATCTCTGCCTGAATTTTTATGAGGAAACTATTCTGCACTTTTTTTCTACGATGAACACTCTTTGTTTCAACCTGAAAAATAAGCTTTCCTAACCAAATAGAGCCAGCCTAGTTCCTAGAACCAGACTGTGTGCTTTACTGTGTTGTTACGCAGAAGCTCTTTGCACATGCTCCTCAGCAAGGCTCACATCTGCCTTCCTTGCTTCTTCCCTATCCTCACAGAAATGTTTATCCAAGATAGAAAGGGAGATTCAGACTCCATAGATTGTTCTTTTTCTCCCTGGTAACATGGTCAGTATAGGGACCTAACTTGGACCAGACCCTAAATGTTGACAGCAAAAATTCAGTCCTGCCTGAATTACTTTCAAAAGTAATTTCCGGCTTAAAATATTATAACTTCCAGATGAGCATTTCTAACATTTATTTGCTGTTCACTTCTGATATTCCATATTTTTTAAATATTCTTAAGTAAACTTTCTTCTTACTCCTTCAGTAGCATTTTGGATTGATACTTAAACGAAAATACCTTTAGGGAAATAGCATTCAAGCGATTCCTGGCCTACTATACTAGCATTTCCATATGGAGCCTTTCTTCTAAAACTACTGTTAAATGTTTTCAGTTACAAGTATGAAACAGCATCAGACACAAGATCTTCAGCCAACTCAACTTCAAGCATAAAGCCCTGCTCTCCACATCAAGATTTGAATGAAACCTTTTTGGACACCTCCCAGTCTGGTAAGGAACTATACGTGTAAATATAAATATAGGAGTTCGTTTTTCCTTTGGTTAGATGTGGAGTAAATCATTGTCCAGTGCAAGATGCTCAGTTAGGTTTCTAACTTCAATCTCCAGCTTCCTGAGAACATTACAAATACTTCAGTGCACTTTGTGCATTTTGTCTGGAGAAGAAACATCCAGCAAATACTAGGACCCAGATCAGAGTTTTTCTATGTTCACAGTCCAATTTTCTATAAAATGACCCTAACTCTAAAGGAGATGCTGAGTCTGTTTGCAAAGAGATTTCTGAAGGGTTTCAGTTACTCAGGTTTGGAGGAAGAGATGGCAAGAGGGGAAGAGAAGTTGTACAGAGTCAACTGGAAGTAAGTTGAGATTTCTCTGATCTTACTTACAACATTGAATACAGCTGTTATAGAAAGTTGCTTTGCATGGGAAATGGGTAGAGAGAGAGTCAAACTGTACACACTAACCATCTCAAACTTCTCATTTTATATGCCAGATAACACAGTAATGATAATATCGGTCTGCCTTTTTTTTTTCCACATGGACTTTTTTTTTTTTTTTTTTTTCTGACAGGTGATACTTACCTGTACCTTTAGGAATCAAATACAGTGAAGGTGGAGGAATGTGATTTATAAAGATTATTAAAAGATATAAGGAGGTTGACAGCCTCTCACTGATCTTCTTTAAGGAGAATGCTGTTCAACCCTTAAATACTAACGTGCTGAATTTCCTGTGATCTGTCACTATATCTCCCCTTAAACTATTCTATAATGAAAATCTAACATCTCATTATCTACAGCCTGTGAGAAAGAACCATCATCATATATGTGGATATATATCTTATTGGGAAACATGTTACGTGGAATTGGTGAGACTCCAATAACACCACTGGGCATCTCCTATCTTGATGATTTTGCTAAAGAAGAGAATGTTCCTGTATATGTAGGTAACGTCAACATAAAATAAACGGAGAGGTTCTTAATATAAGAGGTCGATTATCCTCTGCAGGAGAAAACATTCACCCATTAAAATGTACTATCATCTGCTTCATTATATTTTCAGCATGTTTGCACACAATAGCCATGTTCGGCCCAATGTTTGGTTTCCTGCTGGGATCCTTATGTGCCAGACTCTATGTGGATGTTGGATTTGTGGATTTAGGTAAGCAAAATAGGCAAAGTGAAAGTAAGTTAATACTTGTTGCTAACAGGTTCATCTACATACTTGCACAAGAGTATTTTAAAAACTAATTGTATTAACTTAATTCTATTTAATTTACCTTAATTATATCATATGATTATCAACATATATATATACATTATTATTTAATTGCATTTTATACTTTGTTATAATTTTATTAAATTACTGGAAGCTTTTGGGGTGAAAGCTGAATTAGACAAGGAACATTTTAGAACCTTTTTCTAGGTTTTAAGGATTAAAAAATGTGTTTAATCTTAGAATTTAGTAACAAGAATGCTCAGAGACTAAAGAATTTTTTCTAAGTTAAGTTGCAATCTTAATGAGAAGATTCTGCTAGCACATTAGTTTTACAGTTTTTGTGCATCATAAAATCACAGACTGACTTGGGTTGGAAGGGATTTTAAAATCACATATTTCCAACTAGATGATCCCCCCCACAGCAGAGGATATGAGTTCTGATGCCTTCACTGCTTAAAAGTTCTCTTATTCAGTGTTCATTGTTACTGCTGAAATTCAACCACTGTACAAATACAGCTTTTTTAGCAAATTAAGCGTGGGAAGTTTCATCTTCTCAATTAACTCGGTTCTGTTTCATTTGATTACAGGAAAAATTGCTATCACTCCACAGGACTCTCGCTGGGTGGGTGCATGGTGGCTTGGTTTTTTAATAGGTGGAGTGATCAGTTTCCTAGCTGCTATTCCATTTTGCTTCCTGCCAAAGAGTCTGAAAAAGCCTCTGAAAGCCAATACGGACAAAACTTCACCTGGTCTCCTGGAAAATATGGGAGCCATGAGGAAGACACTTCCTCCTGCAAAATCTAAGCCAATAAAGTGGTCAACAATGCTGAAAGGCAAGTGTTATGTGTATCAGGTAATTATGGAAAGCAAATGTACAGTAAAGATGCGATACTTCTGCAGAATATTTTACTTCCCCTACACTTACATGAGTAAATGTACACTTACATACAATTAAACAAGTAAATGAGTTAGCTATCCCCAGGAAAGGAGTTATCCAATAAATATTATGAGAAGTCAAAGAGCTTCTTCAAGACTGTGAGGCATTTATGATTACCAATATGGCACCTACTTCAGAAAATCTGCAATAGAAATTGGAGTAGAGGAAACATCATTTCTGCATCAAGACCTAAAGAAAATATTAGAAGTTTCCTTTTGCATTCTGGAAAACCAAATCATTTTTCTGGTCATCACAGAGCTTGTGAAGATTTTGAAACTAATTGCTGCCTGAGGAAAACACAGCAGGCTTGAATTCTGATTGTGCAGACCTTACACTATAAAAGGGGAGGAAAGGTGAAGGGCAGAGATGTTTTTTATCACCAAAAATTCCTCCTAAGTTCAGATCCCAATGGAAGACGTGCTTCCCTACAAAGGCACCAGTCACTTAGCCTTGAAACTTGCAAGCTGAAAGTAGTCTTTGCTGCGTGGAGCCTTTTTGTCTTCACATGCACAGAACTCAGGCCTTAACCTGCAATTCACTCTTCCATTAAGTTTCTCTCCTCCTACTTCAACATCTAGAGTTTTCCAATAGCCTGGTTTTGCTTTCAGGTACTCACTAGCAAATGAAGATCAGTACAATTTGCCCTTGGACAGTTAAAAGAAGGATTTTTCCCTAAATTTCATGGATTACTCACCTGTAATTATTTCATATAGTTTTAAAACTAACTCATTTATCTCTTTCTTTCAGATTTCTATACCTCTCTGAAAAAAATACTGAGTAATCGAATGTATGTTACATTTTTGTGTAGCTCACTGTTACAGTTCAGTAGCTTTATCGGTTTCTTGACTTACAAGCCAAAGTACATGGAACAGCAGTATGGACAATCTGCATCTAAATCTAACTTTCTAATTGGTAAGTTACACTGCAATGACAATTTATTATATAATGGTTGAACGGGGAGAAGTTCTGGCCACCTTCTTCTAGGACGTATCTTTCCTAAATTTAATTATATGAAAGCAGCATATAAGCTAGTTTTAGTATCTATGGGGACAGAATAAATAATTATATCCTATTAGATTATTTATGTTTATGTTTAATTATGATTAAAATACTACATTATGATATTTATATCATATAGTATTAATAGCATTATATTCTAGCAAGGGTACTCAAAATATGCCAGTAATAGGGTCAGGGGAGTTTTAAATTCTCTGCCATCTGATTGAGGGATACCTTGCTTCAAGAGAGGACAAATCACTGTCAGCTAGCTAGCTAGCATACAGTCTGTTTTGAAATGTAATAACTTCAAAATAGTATATGCAACCCAAAGATTAGGCTGGGTGTCATACAACATACCACTGCCAGGGACATCAACTAAAGAATGAAGTTTGACTCTTAAACCCAGTGTGACTAACTTATTTTAACATTCCTCTTCAATAATCTCTTTCAGGATTGACAACTTTACCACCTGTTGGAATTGGAATTTTCCTGGGAGGAATAATAATGAAAAAGTATAAAATGAGCATCATTGGAGCAACCAAGTTTGCATTTACCATGTCTTTTTTTGCCTATTCCTTCACTCTCTTGCACTTTGTTGTTGGCTGTGAGAACCAGGTGGTAGCAGGAATTACAGCATCATATGATGGGTGAGTATAAAATGAAGAGAAGATTTTTCTGTACAGCAGCAATAGTGCAAATACTGTACAAGGACATGAAAGCTAAAAGACAAACATGCTTTTGCAATGCTTAGAGGGACCAAAAAGTATGAAGTGTCATTGTCATAATTCTGTTGATCAGCAGAGGGTAGCTTGACAATGTGCAGCACTGGTAAAAGTTCAATCAGAATCACATTATCAAAATCACATCATTACTAATGCAGGAATTTTGGCTGTTGTGGGAGTGATACTTCTATTTCACCCTGTGCCATCTCTACATCAGAAATAATTTTCTTGCAAAGTTTATTCAGACCTAGTAAAAAGATAAAGAATATGTACATTGTACATTGGTAGCACATCCTGCATGGATATGGAAAGACTGCAACACATCAGACTCTCAGCCTGCTGTTAAATAAAATGAAGCTTTAATGCCTAACGAAGACATTCTCTCCTGTCAGGACAGAACAAATATTCAAAAGTTAGAAGCTATTATTAGTTCCTTGAGCAAACAAAGATACCAGAACAGAGCTGTGCATTAGGAGGTGGCTTTCCAAGGCACCCAGAAAAACCCTTGCATTTGGATTGGCATATGCTCTCAGCAGTCTAGTTTCTATTGGTGCATTTTTGCCAACAGCTGAAGAGGTACCTGATAAGGCTCTAGGTACTGAGCTGACCTGTATATGTATATGCCTGGGAGTTAAAATCAGTAGTAGCAAATTTTGTCCTAGCATTATTAATAATCTAGTGATCATTTTAATATCAGCCTGAGTGAGATGAAATGTGAAGCAGAAAGATCAATATTTTAGATGTTCAAATATTAAAATGTATGCCCTGGTCTTATGAGAACAAAGACACTGTCACACAGAAGGGACTGCACTGATCTCAGTGCTGAATTAAAAGTTGTTCTTGCTCTTGTCTCAACTTAACTCCCAAGCAAACCCATTCCGTATCATGAAAATGCCATATCTTCTGACTGCAATTCTGGCTGCAAATGTGCCACCAATGTGTGGGATCCCGTGTGTGGAAGCAACGGGCTGACATACATTTCAGCATGTCTGGCTGGATGCACGATTTCAGAGGGACATGGGAAGAACACGGTAAGAGCATGCTCAAGTTTTGTAGCTTTTACTAGCTTGCTTTCTATTTAGCATCAGGGGTTTTGAGTAGCATAATGTGTTTAGTAGAAAACACATTTGCTGGGGAACTGTCACTAAGGTATTTATGCCTTCTGGCTACAGAATTTTGTGGATTGAATGTAAGAAGGGGAAAATAACAGTTCAAAATATTTACATGCTTTCTGAAGTTTATTTGTAGTCTGCCTTTTATAAACCACAATTTGACTGCCCTGAAGTTTTTAGTCAGTAGTTGCAGGATGCTAACATATCAAAGCATCCTCTATGATGCACATCATTAATGTGATAGCAGTTTAATAGACATGTCTAAGTCTATGAGACTGAGACTGTGGTCCAGCATAAGTCTTTCTCTGTAGAGGTTGAGATTCATGGCCCACAGATCCCCTTATATTAGTAGATCCTCTTGCCTTGAAATCCTGATTAAAAGCTATTGCTTTTGTGCTATCTGTACACCTGCTGCTGTTCTCAGGCAGTCTGCATAAGCTGCATCTTGACAGGCAGCTGCTGCTTTCTGCTCTGAGGTAATTCTGGTGGATCAGCTGGTGGATCAGCTTTAGAAGAGGGGCACCTGGGATCCAGGTGCTTTCCACAGAAAAAGCCATTAGCAGGCAAAGACAGCTAGCAACAAAAGGCACACCCCCTCAACCTCGCTTTTCCCCTCTAGCAGCCCTCCAGGGACATAAAGACAGGTTCAGAACTCCTGCAGATACTCCACACATCTTCCAAAAATTGATGTTGTGTCCAGTGCTAGGAGCATACTTGAATATCCCTTCTAATCTGAGCGCAGTTTGTAGTAAAGAAAAGAAGCTGCTGCCCACTGCCTCGAGGATAGGCAAACAAGAAAATAGTAAGGCTTCAGACTCTGCCTGTGTCTGAAGGCAGGATTCCTCACTGCCTGAGAAATGTCCTACCAAGTCTGTTTTGTGTCTTCCAGGTCTTCCATAACTGCAGCTGTCTTGAAGCCAGCAGTTCGTGGTCAGGAAATAACTCTGTCACCTTGGGGCAATGTCCAAAAAGTGATAATTGTTCAATGATGTTTATTTATTATACAGTAATACAAGTCATAAGTGGTTTTTGCTATGCACTGGGAGGCACTCCAGCATATTTGATTATGTACAGGTAAGTTAAACTGTGTAATGATGGCTCAGGCTTTACAGTGAGGTGATCAAAGTCATCTCTTTTTTTTTTTTTTTCTCTTTTCTTTGAGAGAAGGCATCTCTCTTGCACTATATGATTTATCCAATGTTTTTCATTCATATCTAATGTTTTGTCATTCTGCTTATATCTACAGCTGTTAATATCAAACCTTACTTGGCCACTGCCAATAATGTTTTTACATAATGTTTTTTCTTATGACTAGCTTTCCAGAACACATCCTCTTTCCCTGCTTGGATATTTTGTCTGTGTGGATTTAAAATAGCATGCATTTGTCAGGATTTTTGGATGTGGAATCATCTGACATATTAGGCTCTTCAGATGTTAGGGTATTCAGAACCTCTTATGGTTCAGTTTGAGGCTCTGGTGCTCATGTCTGTTGAAATATACAGGTGCAGGCACACCAGGATGTGCTTCAGAACAAAGTATACAATTTAGAATCTACTTTTCAGTAACCTAAAGAGAATTTTCAGTCAGTGGCAAATTTAGTGGAAGTCCTATGGGCATTATGTCATCCTTAATGAACATGAAAAACAGAAAGTGAACTCACCTCTGTGAAACATTTTTCTGAGGGCTGACCATATTAATATTTGTAAGGAGATATCAGAAACTGGATATATAACAACTCAAGATCAGTGAACAGTCTGGATGTTCGAAATGTGGTTTGCCATGAGACAGATGGGCATTGGGTAGTTCAGGATGTGCTGACGTGTATATAAAAAGGTGCTGCATTAGTGCTGTTTCTTGCAAAATTTTTGTCCTAGGACAATATGATATTTCCAACAAGTGAGTAAGGTATTTCCCATTAGGCAAAGAACATGTATGCCAGGGAACCAAGCCAGTTTAGAAATCTATTTCATTAACACTAGTTTAGACCATGACTATGCCTTTAAAAATTCTTACTTAACTATACCTAGTGAATGGACTTCCCAGGAGATATGTGATAGAAAACAATAGATTAATTCCCCATTTTCATACCACTTTGTACCTTCTCAGCAGACATAGGAAGCACTCTCCTTCCAAAAGCTTAGTTTTATGTCATTTTCTGAGCATTGGGTGAAATTAACAGCAATAGATATGTTTAAACACTTGTTATTCATTCATCTCTCTTTCAGATGCGTTCAGCCAGAGTTGAAATCTCTTGCAGTTGGTCTGTACACTCTTGTTATGAGAATGCTAGGTAAGAGACATCCTTCTGACTAACAAAGGTACCCACTTGCTTGGCTTTAAATGACAAGAATATAACAACCATCCATAAACCAGCTGCATACTTGAAATACCCGAAAATTCTGGGTTGTTTCTGGAGGTCCAAAATACAGTGTAGAGTTCACTGAGAAGTCAGCTAACGCAATTTTGAAAAGCTCTGACTTGCTGATTAAATGATATTGCACTTTGGGAGCTTGGCATTTCAAAATGGGCAGAGTTTCTGAGCAAAATTAAAATACTGTCTTGAATTTCTAAATAATTCTGTAAAGTCTCAAACTTATCATTCACCTGATGGCTAACTGGGACACAGTGATGCAAGACCAAAAAGAAATGCTTTTCATTCAACACTAATACAACTCTGCTCGTAACAGACTGTTTTCTCCACATTCAAAATTTGCTTTCCTGGGATGATTAAATTTCATTTTCCTATAAGCACGAGACAGTGCTCTTCTCTTTTTCCTTTTTTTTTTTGAGGTTGTTAATGAGACTGTTGATTAAGGTGCCTAGATGAGCAAGAAAGCACCTCTGTGTTTTCTTATATTCTCTTTATCGACACAATTGGAATAGTTTGTCATAAGTATGGAGAAATGTGTGTGAAGAATCAAACTACATGGATTTGCTACGATGCCTAAAAAATTGACAGTAACTTACAAATTTGGGCTGTAGTCTCTAGTCCTGATTGTGATGAGACCTTTGGAGACTGCAAGGTACATACATTTTGTCCTTTTTTATTTTCTTTGTCATATACTGTTCGGGCAGAATTTCTCCATCACTCAGGACTAGCAAAGGCAATGGGATTCTGGAAGCTTTTCTGGCCATAAGGAAAGAAAAACATCACAAGAAAAGAACGTCCCCCTTTCTATAAGCTTTTTTTTTTTTTTCAGCCCTTTGAGAGAGTGTGTTCTTTCCACTGTATGAAAGTGCAGAGCTGTAGTCACTGATTCATGAAAGCCAACATTTCTCTTCAGACATGTAGATCAAATCTGGCATACTCCCCTCTTCATTCTCTAAGGAACAGCCCCAAAACAGCATTTCTCCCATCATACCTTGGCCACAGCTTAATGATCATAATTTACAGGCCTTTATTAGGCAACTTATTGAGTTCACACTGTCACAAGAAACCTAGGGTACAACAGGCTGAGAACATACCTATTCCTACGAAACAAATTATTTCCTATGTAAGAATGCAAGAAACCCATGTAGAAGCAAAACTAATGTGAAACATGGTCCTGTCCACACTGAAACCTGCATTTATCTGAATACTCAACTTTGATTCAGCAACGGTAAGATTCTGTCTTGTGTCTGCCATCTTTTCCAGTAAAGCATAAGCTCATATCTGGCCAAGTCATGCCAGGATTTTGGTCGTTCTACACTCATAGACATTTTTGAAAAGCATATTCAGTACCTCTAGTCATGTACACCTGGTGCTGTCCCTTCAGATGGAAGGCACTATCAGCTGCTATCTGACAGAGATGAAGAGAAGAGCCAGCACATTTAATTTAAGCTGTGTGTGGAAATGTGGCCTCTGCATCTGTTCAGTGCTGCAGACAATCGGTCCAGCTTCTCTTCGGTCCAGTGTGCACTGGATGCCGTGCTCAAGAAACCATTATGATGGAAGAAGCAGCATACATGCTACAAGCTTGGCCAAATCTCCACCATCAGACCACATTCCTTGAGGCTGACAAACCCTATGGCACAGCTTACAGTTATTTTGATAAAGGGAAGGTCCTCAAAGACCAACTCACGTACTGCTGCTATTGCAGCAAATGATTTGCTTCTAAGAAAATATAATGCTAACTTAAAAAAATGTGTCTTTTTCTGTGATATCTTGAGACATTTTTGCTTATTCCCTTGCAGCTGGGATCCCTGCACCAGTTTATTTTGGGGCACTGATTGACAAAACATGCTTGAAATGGGCAAGCACGAGATGTGGGCAGCGAGGGGCTTGCAGGCTATATGACTCCAATGCATTCAGGTAAGGCAAAGTATAGCACCAGAAGTCCCAAGCATTTTGTCTATACAGACCCTTCTTGATCTGTCATATTGTAATATGTGAGACCACTGATCAAATATAATGGTTTCAACTCAGATTTTGGTCATCTCAGAATTCCGGAAATTGAGAAATTTTAAGATAAAATATTAAATTCTTGGCTCTTCACTCAGTTTTTACATTGTGCAAAAATTCTTTAATATAAATGACAGGAACTTTCTGGAATGGAATATCTGTTCTAATATCCTTTAAGTCAATTTAAAAAAACCAAGGGCTACATGATTTACCAGTGAGAGGGAAGGTACACAAATCTACCTCTGTAACAACTTTCATCAGCAAATAAAAATCTTTAAATTCTTTAACAGATGATTATAGTTGTCAAAATGTCTACTTTGTGGTACCATTCACAAAGATTGAGTTTTAGAATTGCCTTCCCTGAGCTCTTCTATCTGATTTTTATACCCGTGTGAGCCTTGAAAGTCTTTAAAAGTGATTTTCTTTAACTTGAAGTTAACACTGTCTTTTATTCTCTATCTGACAGATATGTCTACCTTGGTTTATCAGCGATGTTGAGAGCTCCTTCCTACTTGCTTGCGATCCTTTTCTTTATATTGATAAAGAAAAACATTCAAAATAAGAACTCCAAGCTTGCAGAAAATGGAGAAGATGTTCCTATGAACAAAGAAGATAACTGCAAAAACAGTGAACATTTGGCAAGTTCTTCTGAGGCAGAAAAGGAATCGCATACTTAGAACGCCATCTGGAATAGTGTAATATGAATCAAGACAGCTTCTTTTAAAAACAACTTTAACAATGTCATGAATAACTAACTAACTAATAGCTTAGAAAGTTCAGAAAGGCAAAGAAATAGTAAACCTATGGTCAACAAAAAGGAAATCGTACTGGCAGGTTATGACCTCATATGTATTTGGCTACAGGTAACAGACCAAATAAATTACTTGAACCAAACCAAGTTCTCAAAAGGTAACAAAAAGTCTCCCATGGTGTTCACAGCAGAGCTAGTCAACAGTTTTTGAATGGGGTCAAAGATGAGTGCTGACAGAACAGCCACATCCCAGAGTCCCACCAAACATGGGGATGATTCCATGTGCAGATGTGTGGAGTGGTGCTGGAATGGCAAGCAGCAGTCTCACAACAGCATTCTGATTTCATCAAGTTCAATTGGAATTCAAAAGAAAAACAAGGCCCTTGAGCAAAATTCTTCCTCCTTATCTAAGTGAGTCATTGCAACCCTTTGCCACTGCAAAACTGACAACAGCAGTATTTTTCCAATAAGCATTTTTCTCTTAGTTCAGCAGAAAAAAAATTATACCATAGAGTAAATAGTTATTTTTTTAAATCTCAGAAGTTGTAGCATTTTATTAAAAGCTTTTTTTTTTTTTTTTTTTTTTTTTTTAGTTAAGTGAGTATGAAATGTAGGAACTGTTTTGAATTTTGTAATTCTGTTCTTTTCTAAGCAAAATTCAATGCATGTTCGTGGCTTTATTGCTATGCAGCAATATGTCCAGCAGAGGACACTCAAATAATAACAGTACACCTCTGACTACTGCATAGGGTGTATCTGTCATGTTCAGGCTTTATCATTTTGGGAAAAGTTCATCGACAGGTAGGCAGAACATTCAGCTGTATTCTCATGCACCTTAAAACTTTTTCAGACCAAGACTTAAGCTCCTCTTTTCAAGGTCACTTTTGTATGTCTCTTGGTTTGAGTTCATTATATTTGCATCCCTCAGAGCTCGGCAATTGTTACTACTTCAAATAAAAAGATGTATACTTGTGTACCATATCACAGCAGTGATTCAATTCTCTGGATGATACTTTAAAACAGACGTTTAACGTTCAGTGGGTTATGGTTAATATACACGTTAGCTAAAAAAGGCATACTGAGTGAAATGCTGAACTGTTCTATGTTGTCTGTCATGCAGCAGCATGTTTATAAATTTCAGTGATACTTACTGGAGGCAATGATTTGCTGTCTAGCAGAATTGATGTGACTCTTCCCTTGGTCAAATTGCATTTGCAGATGTTTAATGCATCCAGGTCACAAGAATGACTCATACCGAGTCACAAGAATGACTTGTGGGACCCGGATGAGCAAACCACCTTATCCAGCTGTTGAAATTGGAAGTGAGTTTTGGCAAGGTAAATTAATGAAACTGCTTAGTTCTTTTCTTTCAGCTGCTTTGTCCAGATAATATTTTATTCACACGTCTTGGTGCATATATATTTTCCTGCGGTGACTATGGCCAGAGTTTTGGGTGAGACACTTTTAACCTCAAATTTGAAACCTTTGAAAACATATTATATATGAAAAAGCATACCAGTATAAATTGGGAACAAGAGTTAATTTCAGATGGCAAATTATGAGAATTATGCATGAGTAATCAACAATGCCAGAATAAAGGGTTACAGCCTGTAGCAGACTTAGGAAGCTGTTACTGTAGGCTGGTAGGGTAAAGAGGGTGTTGATTGACTCACCTCTTTGGATGCACAAACAAAGGCTTGCACAAGATCATAATAACCTGCTTATTTGGGGGGTTTTCTTTCCCTTTCCAGGGGAAAAAATGGTTCCAGCAAGAGATAAACTGCTATTCCCCTCTGCCTTTAGGTGTTACATTGGCTTAGCACACGCAAGTGAATGAGAGACAGGGACAGTAACACTGTTTTGGTGCTAGCCTTGGTGTTCTTTCCTCCATCATCAGAAAATAAATAAATAAATAAAAAGCAGAAGTCCTGGACCAAAGGTGGAATCAAAGCAAATCAGACACTGTATTTCTCCTTATGATAAAACTCTATAATTTCTGTTCCCTGTACATTTTGTGTCCTGAGAGGCCTTGGTGCATGATAAGCATTTAATGTATCAGTGTAAAACATCCTTGAGCACTGTGAAAACACAAAGGATGCTATACAGGACAGTGTATGCATGCAGTGAGAGACCAGTTGGAAGGTCACAAGCCTGACCAGCAGTGGACAACCGAGATGTTCTACTTACTTCAAGGACAAATGTCTCATATGCAGTTGGATCTCTCAAGACATTCAAAAAGTGAATGTCAAATTCTTTGTTACATTCGTCTGATATCTTACCTTTTCTCAAATGTACATGCTAGTAGTCAGTAACAGCACTAACTGATTTTCTTAGTGCACTCTTTTTCACACTTTCTGGAATTCCTTACTTCCACTCACTAAATAGCTGCAAGAATTTACTTGCAAAATCTCCTTAATTTCCAATTATTCATGCTATTTTTTTCTTATTGAAAACAGATTTTGAATGAGCGTTCAATAGCTGATTCATTTATGAGTCACTATTAATTTCAGCCCACTAGTCTTTTTTTAATCCTCATTTAAATACAGGGGATTTAATTTGTTGTTTTCATTGACTTTAGGAATGCAGTGAGTTGGTTGAGAAGAAGCATTATGGAGAGTAATAAATGCTTTTGCCCTCCCGGGCTCATAACTGCCTTTATTCCAACTTTTGACTCCTCTTTAAATTCCACTTCTGATCTAGAATGGATGCTACAACGATGGCATCATCACTTTTCAGCTAGTTTTTGGGTGGTCCAAATATTAGTAGGGCAAGGAGAGCTGCCACCCAATAGAATCTCTCAGGTATTTCAGGTAACTTCACCACTATTAAAATAATAACCCATTAGTAGCTCTAGAGTAATATTTCAGGTTTCGTTGGTCTAGCCGTGTGAGGTCTGGACTCGAGCACAAACTGTATGACAATACATCATTAATATGTATTGCCCTTGTTCTAGTTTGAGGGACCACAACTGCCTACTTCTTCTGGGAAGGGCACTCCAGCAGTGGTAGAGGCCCTGCTCTGAAAAGCCATACAGACACAACCAGCTCAAGTCATGACTCACAGCAATGGCAGGGAGTCCACAGGCTGTGGGAAAGAGGAGCAACTCAGTAGAAGAGCCAGCAGAGCCACACTTCTTGGTGTTAGTCAGCAGACAACATAGTGGTAGGTGACCACTGTAGTGGTTGGTGACCTTGCCTGTGGCAGAGGGGTTGAAACTAGATAATCTTTGAGGTCTTTTTCAACCCAGGCCATTCTATGATTCTATGATAGAGCCACCTCACACCAGAGAGCAATGACCCTGCGTAAGCAAGCTAAAGCAACAACCCAATTCTTCTATCAGGGGCACTAACTGTGGGTCTCAGCCAATCAGGCCACAAGGAAAAAGCTCCCTCCAAAAGAGCTGCATATGACCCCTCCATAGGGTAGCTCAATAACCATGCCGGAGGATCTACTGAGGCATCTGGAAGGGGTGCTTGGAGCATGCTTTCTGGCCTTGTCTGAGGCTGCGTTAATCTCTCTCCTCTGGAAATGCATTCTGAACTATGGGAGTGGCAGAATTTGCTAATATGAAATGCAAGCATGAGACAAAGTGTAATGCAGATTTAGTAAATACAAACATACAACATCAGCATCCCCTCAAAGAGATGATAACATAATAAATATGCATTCAAATGAGACAAACTTGTTTACTGTTTTTGCACATAAGGAAGAGCACTTATTCATTTCAGCAACAATGTCCAACTGAGAAACAGTTTCACTCTTTTGATGATTTCTTGTTGAGTTTAGAGAAGAAAATTTTTATTTAAATGCCCTTCTAGTGTAATGCAGCTGAAGAGATGAATTATTTAGATATGATAGACAATGACTCAGAATGTCTCTGGTTTAAGATTCATATCTGTTCCAATAGTTATAGAAATACTTCTCAGATTGCACTATGTAAGTTTTTTTTCTTTCTGACAAATCTCTAGGTTTCCTCTTGAATACATTTTGTCCATCTGTATTTTTTCATAACCATTTCTATAAGGCCTCACAACTTTATTCCACTGATCTTCTGAAATCTGTTAAATCCTGGTAATCATGATCACTCGAGAACTACCACCTCATTTCTCACTATATATGATAATCACATTATGGCATGTTCAGAAGACCTAGGTAAAAAAAAACATACTTCAGTCCCATCAGGCTATGTGCTAGCGACACTCATAAAGCATGTCTGGCCGAAGCCTACGCTAGGGCTTTGCTTGGACCAGCCTTCTGGTGTCCAGCAGCTTCTCATGGATGACTGCAGGCCTGTGCAGGCATCCCAGCTGAGAGGCCACAGCTGATGACTGGGATAGGCCGCCTGAGTTCCATGGAGTGGTTGGGTCAGGGCAAGTGCTTGTTTTCCCTCTACTCTGTGATGACTGAAGCTGCTGTGTACAACAGGTGGGTTGGGCAGGAACACTCCCAGAGCCAAGCATGGGTGGGTGGCTGCGTAGGAAGCTCTTAACCATCAGCTTCAACCTCGTGGGCTTTCCAGTATTACCCGTCTTTCTTTGTTCCATCTGTGATAGTGGAAATCCCCACAAGCAAGCAGCTTGTCCCAAGAAGGAGGAACAAGTCCCAGGAACTGATGCAGGAATGTAAGTGCAATGACATCACAGTGGTCTCAGAGGAGATCAAATCCACTGCACGTGAATTTGAACCCACACAACAACACCATTGTGCTGCTCCTGGTCATGTCATGGATGCAAAGCCTGGATTTTGCTTGATCCTTAGAAGAGTTCTGCGCACACAAGAGACAAACGATGCCCTTATTTTCTAAACCAGACACACTGACACAGGGATTTTAGACCTAAGAGAGGATCACATGCTCCTGTGGGGCTCTGCCAATGCATTAGACAAGACCCAGTGTCAAAGATCCAGCTAGACCACAGTCTGGTCAAAGAGATGGACAAACACCTTCTTAGGTTACACACAGCATACCTGTATATTTTCATTGTCTTTCATTTTTCCTGTATCCACCCACTCCCCACCTCATCCATGGCCATACACAAAATAATCAATACTTTCTTTAAAAAACAACCTCTCTGGCCCTACAGACCAACCTAATATCGGGGCAGAGGGGTCTCCTGGATGAACCTGCTCAGCCTCAAAATTCAGGTGTGTCTGTAAAAAGAAGTTGTTTTGTTTTGGTTTTTTTTGGCTGACTTGAACTGTGAATTACAGTTTAGTAGCATGGAATAAAGCTATGAATTAATTAAAGAGTAAGATATATATGCATCACTGGAGAAAATAACGTGTGATTCAGACCTGTATTAACGGTTTCAGCTAGAAAAAATTTTAACCATATTGCAAGCAAGAGGTTGGAAAAATGACAACATATTCCACAGTGAAAAACTTGTAGACTAAATCTAACATTACTGCTTTTTTTGTTAAAATATTTGAAATGTTTAAAATTTATTTTGACAGTTTGAAGTATTTTCTGTTTATTTTGTGACAGCTAGTACTCTAGTCCCAATTTA